TCCTGCCTCCGCCTCCCAAGCAGCTGGGACCACAGGCGCCCGCCACAACGCCCGGCTATTTTTTGGTTGCAGCCGTCATCGTTGTTTGGCGGGTCTGGGCTGGGGATTCGAACCCGCTACCTTAGGTGTACGTGGCTGGTGCCTTAGCCGGTTGAGCTATAGGCGCCAAGCCAAAAAAAATTTTTTGTAATTGTTATTTTATTTTATTTTTTGAGACAGAGCCTCCTTCAACTCCTGGGCTTAAGCGATTCTTTTGCCTCAGCCTCCCAAGCAGCTGGGACCACAGGCATCCGCCACAACGCTCAGCTATTTTTTTGTTGCAGCTGTCACTGCGGTTCAGCAGGCCTGGGCTGGATTTGAACCCACTAGCTCCGGTGTATGTGGCTGGTGCCTTAGCCACTTGAGCCTCAGGCGCTGATCCTATAATTGTTATTTTAACAAAAGATTCTGGGTGGCATCTGTAGCTCATCTGGGTGGCATCTGTAAGGCACCATCCACATAGAGGCGCTAGCCCTCAGAGCTATCAGGTTTGAATCCAGCCTGGGCCTGCCAAACAATGACAAGTACAACCAAAAAATAGCTGGATGTTGTGGTAGGCACCTATAGTCCCAGCTACTTGGTAGGCTGAGGCAAGACAATCGCTTAAGCCCAGGAGTTTGAGGCTGCTGTGAGCTGTGACGCCTCGGCACTCTACCCAGGGCGATAGCTTGAGGCTGTCAAAAAAAAAAAAAGATTCTCTGGTCCAAACACCTGTTCATAGGATCATACTGCAAGTTTAACAGAGGAGGGAAACTGAGGTCCAGATCATGACAGCCAGAACTTTTATATGTTCAGTGGGGCCCTTTCCTTGCACCTCCTCTGTGGCACCCAAGGCAAGGCACTCATTGGCAACTCACCAAGATCACTAGCCTGTTCATCAGGAGGTCTATCTTGGTTCTCTTCAAATGGATCTTGCCACAGTTCTTCATAATCTTTGTGTCAAAACCTATGGAATTTGCAACCATCTGTCTACACATCCATCCATCCACCCACTCACCCACCCATCTATCCTCCTACCCATCCATCCACCTTCCATCCATCTATCCACCCACTCCCTCATTCATCTATCTATCTACCCATCTATCCATCTCCCTTCCATCCATTCATTTATCCACCCACCTTCCATCCATCTTCCATTCACCCATCTACCCACCTACTTATCCACCTTCCATCTATCCATCTACCCACTCATCCATTCACCCAATATTCCATCCATCCACTTACATATCCACTCATCTACTCATCCACCCACCCACCCACCCACCCATCCTTCCATCTGCACATGAGCATTGCATTTTGTTCTAGCCAAAACAAAGGTACAGGCTCAACATGTCCTTTTTTTTTTTTTTTTTTTTTTTTTTTTTTTTTTGAGACAGAATTTTACTTTGTCATCCTTGGTAGAGTGCCATGGCATCATAGCTTGCAGCAACCTCAGACTTTTGGGCTTAAGTGATTCTCTTGCCTTAGCCTCCCAAGTAGCTGGGACTACAAATGCCCACCACAATGCCCAGCTATTTTTTAGAGACAGGGGGTCTTGCACTTGCTCAGGCTGGTATGGAACCTGTGAGCTCAGGCAATCCACCCACCTCGGCCTCCCAGAGTTCCAGGATTACAGGCATGAGCCACCACGCCTAGCCTAACATGTCCTTTTTTTTTTTTTTTTTTGAGACGGAGCCTCAAGCTGTCCCCCTGGGTAGAGTGCCATGGCATCACGCTCACAGCAACCTCCAACTCCTGGGCTCAAGCAAGTCTCCTGCCTCAGCCTCCCAAGTAGCTGGGACTACAGGCGCCCGCCACAACGCCTGGCCATTTTTTGGTTGCAGCCATCATTGTTGTTTGGCGGGCCCCGGGCTGGGGATTCGAACCCGCCACCTTAGGTGTATGTGGCTGGCGCCTTAGCCACTTGAGCCACAGGCGCTGAGCAAACCTGTCCATTTTAACAGTCTTAGAACCAAGGGCCCAGAGACCAAGCCAGGAACCCCATATTACCAGGCAGATCTGTAGCAGCCTGGCCTATGTCTGTGGCTTCTCATCCCCCACCCCAACCTGATTAGCTCCTGTTCCAGGGGCCTAGAGCCAACATACCAGCATAGATGACCATTCCGTAACATGTGTCAGTGTTGCGGATCTTGGAGCCACGGAGAAGGAGGTTGCCAATGTCCAGGGGGTAGGTATTTTCACCCCATTCCAGGCACCCCACAAAGTGGTGCATTCGGCTGTTGGGCTCCTCACACATCACCCTGCCTGTGGGCAGCAAGGTGGCCAATATACCAGTGGCATGGCTGAGTTCCCTGCCAACCCTGCCCAATCAGTGCCCAAAGGAACATTCCTGCCACCCTCCAGCCCCAGACACCCAAAGTGGGGCCCTGTTCCTTCTACCTGGACTCACACTTCCCTTATCCTCTAGCCAGATTATCCCCCCAAGCCCCTTCCTTGTGGTTCTGGTCCTGGGATGTGTCAAGATGTCTATTGGTACATTGGTGTCATTAATGTCTGTAAGTTTCATGAGAGCAGATGCCAGCCTTGTCTTGGCTGCTCTGTGACTGAAGGGTGCAGCCCAGTATCAGGTACATGGTAGCTGCTCAGTAAATGTGTGAAGTGGGAAAGAGAGAAAGGATACCCACATGGGGGTGGGCTTGTCCAGCAGCCTGCTGCTACTATCCATGGTCACCCTGATCCTGGTCACCTTGCAACAAGGAATTATCAGCCTCACTTTTATTTGAGGAAACAGGCTCAGGTTACAAAGACCAGCCCAGGGCAGTATTCAGTGAGGGCCAGCATTACAGGAGGGTGTAAGCTGGAACCCTAGAAGGAGGGACCACATGGGTCTTGAATGGTCCTCATCTGCTTGCCTTAGGAATTTGGACTCTGACTTAGTCCTGAATGTAGGAATTAGAAACATCTAGACTAGGCTCGGCGCCTGTGGCTCAAGTGGCTAAGGC